CCCCCTCGCTCCTGCCCCCGACGACCCACGCCTCCGCCCCCCACGCCCGCGGCTCCACTCCGCCCCCTGCTCTGCCCCGAGACCAGCTCCGCCCCCAGCCACAGCTCCACTCCGCCCCCTGCTCTTCCAACAGACCGGCTCCGCCCCCAGCCGCAGCTCTATTCCGCCCCCTGCTCTGCCAACAGACCGGCTCCGCCCTCTGCCACAGCTCTATTCTGCCCCCTGCTCTGCCAACAGACCAGCTCCGCCCTCTGCCACAGCTCCACTCCAACCCCTGCTCTGCCCCCAGACCACCTCCGCTTCAGCCATAGCTTCACTCCACCCCTGCTCCGCCCCCAGCCACAGCTCCACTCCGCCCCCGGCTCTTCCAACAGACCAGCTCCGCCCCCAGCCGCAGCTCCATTCTGCTCCCTGCTCTGCCAACAGACCAGCTCCGCCCCTACACCAGCTCCTCCCCCACCCACCATTCTGCCCTCAACTCCACCGCTAAGATAACTGTGCAGTAATGGAGGTGGGTGCAGAAGAGCAACATCCTGGCTCAGGCATATGGCAGACAAATGCAGGCCTCTTGACCTAAGGTGGGAAGACTGCCACCTCAGGGGTTGGGTTGGCAGCAGGGGTTGGGAGAGCCGGGCCCACCCTACTCCACTGGGACAGCAGGGATCCCACCACAACACACTGACTCGGGTTCTGACAGCAAAACTGGTTTCCCTGGGCTACTTCCTGGGAGAGGGGTTCCGTAGTCATGGGGTCCTCCGTTTCATCGGGGTATTCGGCCGCCGGCATTCCGGGTTGCTCCTCTCCACTCTCAGCTTCCTCAGGGGTCAGGGTGCTCCTCACCTGGGTAGCAGGGCCCAGGGTCTGCAGCAGGCTTGAGATATCTATCTCCTTCCCTGGCTCAGGCTCAACTGAGCTAGTGGCCCCATGCCCAACTTTTATACTTCCTGTCCCGCCCCTTAGCTTCCAGCAGGAGGGTCGGGCTGGGCCTGGCTCCGCCCACCAGGGCTCAGAGAGCAGCTCCTCCCTCTCTGGCTCAGTGGGAGGCCACTCTACCTCACTACATGGCCTCTTGGGGGCCTCCAATGCTGTCCACAGAACAACAGGGTGCCTCCCCTTGGCAAAAATCTGGTCCAGCTTGTGATAGGAGGGGCAGGGGCTGGGACCATTCCAGAGGCTTGGTTGTCCTTTCCTGTGGAGTGGCACTGGAACCTGTCCTGGGAGTGACCCCTGTCCATCACTGGATTCGATACAGACTCGTATATCTTGGTATTCTGAGGGTAGCTACTAAGGCAGGACTAGGCCATCTCCCCAGCTCATAAGGAAATCCATGATCTCTGCACGGCTCCCTGGGGATCCATGCGGCATGGCTGCTGCACCACTGAGAGGGATATGTGACTCTGACAGTGTATACACATGGATGGAACACAGGTGGCTGCATGCCAGTGTTTAAACGGAGGTGACATCCAGTCAATATGATGCCAGAGTAGTAGAAGGTATGCAGGTAAAAAGACAGGCCAATCCAGGTACAAAGCAGTGCAGTGTGGGATAGCAGTGGGAGGACTGCCAGAGGCAGAACTGTTCATTCAAAATACAGATATGTCCACACGGACCTGTGCTGGACTAACTCATCTCAAAATGGACTCAATCCACTTGCACAATGGATTAGCCAATTTGCAAAAAGTGGCCAGATAATTAAAAACAAAAAGAAAAGAAAGACAGAGATTGTGTTAGATGGACACTGGCCATTTTAGTCCAAAACAATAGTTAATGTGGGGGGGGGGACCCACAATCTGTGTAGAGAAGCTCTTGGCTTTTGTTTGGCTGTTAGTATGTTTCTAACGTGATAATATTTGAATGCTGCATCTGACCAATTCCAAAATTTCAGAAAATGGAATTTCATGGGCAGAACTGTGCAGATTTTGGTGAAAACTCAATAACTGGAAGGGGAAAAAATGGGGAACACATGGAGCCCTGGCATCTGGTTAGCAGACCCAGCATTTCAACCACTTCTGCCATCATCATCCCAGATCAAAGAACCAGTTGATGTTGCCACCTTCCAGCACAACCCCTGCTAGCCAGGTCAGCTCTGCCCATCCTCCCAAGAGACTTTAACATGTGACCCCTTGAATTATTTATCTCCTAGATAGAAATAAGACGGGGGAAATGAAGGGGCATAGGAGTGCACACAGAGCCTCTGGCTGGGGGTGGGAAATGGAGGACCCTGGTATGGGGGAAGTGGGGCACACACAGCTACTGGCATAAGAAGGAGAGGGAAGGGGGGCACAGAGTCCCTGCCATGGTGGGAAAGTGAGGAATGGAGGACATGGGAGGAAAGGGGAATGAGGGGGGCACATAGAGCCGCTGGCATGGGGTAGGGGTGGGAGGAGTCCCTGAAATAGAGAGGGCTGGGAGAATGGCACCCAAAGAGTCTGTGGGGAGAATGGAGGGGAGCCAGGAGCCCCTGGGGTGGGCAAGGAGCTCAGCTGACAGAAGCTATGAAGTGTGCAAACGTCTAATTAGCCAACGACCAATGAATTTTTAATGCACCCATTGCCGTGGTACTGGGGTCTCAGCTGCTAGGGTGCTAGCTGTCCCTCTCGGCTGCTATTTAAACAGCCTCTTCCAGATCTGGAGCAACAGAAAGGAGAAGGCTGGTTTACGCAGCAAGCCCTGGCTGACATTTTTCATCTAGAGCTCTCCAGCTCTATGCGGCTGGCCTGGAGCCCCCCAAGTCACACACCATAGGGCCCCTGCAGCAGCGGGATTTCTTCCCTTGTGTGCTTGCAGGATGGGAGTCGCTCTCTCTTTCCCTCTTACATAATGACCCTCTCCGCCCCGCCCGCAGCCTCACCAGTGTTCTCATTTCCCAGGTATTAATCTTTGCCATCTTGGGCTAATCTAATTGGATTTCCCAGGTCACATGGTGAGATAAAAAGTCCCCAATCCGTAGGACAGAAATTGGGTTATCCATAGGGAATTAAGGTAAAGAGCAGAGAGAGAGAGAGAGGGGCAAGGTGAAGGGCTCCCATGCTGCCTTCGTAGCAGTCTCTAGCCGGCAGCCATCCTGTGTGGAACTCCAGAGCCAGGCTGCGGCGTGCGGCCCTTCTCTGGGGCCGTGAAGGGTCGGGCATAGATATATATTTTTTTCTCTCTCTCTCTCCCCACCCCGTAAAGGGTGAGTGACCCAGGGTGAAGAGCTGGAAGAGACAGAGGAGCTAGAGGAGTTAGAGGAGCTAGAGGAGGAGGAGGACGACGAGATGGGGAGTGGAGCAAGCGCTGAAGATAAAGAACTGGCCAAAAGGTCCAAGGAGTTGGAGAAGAAACTCCAGGAAGATGCAGACAAGGAGGCGAAGACGGTCAAACTGCTGCTGTTAGGTAAGCATGGGAGCTGGGCAACGCTGCAGCTTGGCTGGGGCACCTTCAGCTCCTAGGGTGGATCCAGAAATGAGTGGGCAGGGAAGCGGTTCTGTACCACTCAGAGCTGGTCTCCATGCATGTAATAAATGTACAGTCTGTGGTGAATGGCCCAACAGGGGATCCTGGTGATTCAGGATGAATGCAGGGTAGGAGGGGGATGGTTAGCCTGTGCCAACCCAGCCTTCAGTTCTGAGTTGGCTAAGCGGAGCCTGGGACGAAGGCAACCCTCAGAGGAGACATGGTGATGCCAAGCTAGGGGAGGTGGGGCAAGAAAGGCGAAACTGGGGTTATTGTTGCAGGCCTGAGGACAATCAGTTTATGCGAAGGGATTAGAAAGTGGCAGTATCTGCTGGTGGCCAAGTGATGGGAGACAGAAGAAAGAGAAGAGGGAGCATGAAATGCAGTGCAGGACCAAGGCAGTTGGGCTTGGGCTGGCCGTTTCAGTCCACGTTGGGTTTAGAGATATGGTCACCCTGAGTTTTTTGTTGTTTTTCTCATTTTTTTCCAACTGAGAGGAGGATCTGTTCCTAAGTAGCACCAGATGGGCTCTCATTAGCTTGATGACTTCCTAACTGAAGCGATTAGCCAGGACACAGAGATTTCTCAGCCAATCGGATGTGACAAGAGGTCACAAACACCCGCTTGAGAAAAGCCTGGGTGTAGGGGGCAGCACCTCAGTAGGGATTAAAATCTATTTGTAATTTTCCAGAAGGGGCGGTGGTGGAGGGGTGGGGGGAATAGGAATGCTGTGGCTAGTGTCAGCACTTGGTAACTACATACCTGGGTCTTTCAGCATTGGGAGGAGGGGGGGCTTTGGATTGATTTGGTGACTCACCAAGGGCCACATGTGAAAAGGGAATTGATCAGAGTCATTTTTCTGGCCAAAAAACGACAAGCAAAGATGTATATGTAATGTTTCACTTCACATGAGAGTTTAGTGGCTGAAGCACAGGACAGAGGATCAGGACACCTGGGTTCTAGCCCCAACTCTGCTGCAGCCTCACAGTTTGACCTACAGAGGCCCCAGCTGTCAAACAGGATGGCAGTACTATCCCTACCCCCACGTGTACTGTGTGTGAGGTGTAAGGTCTGGATCTGGCAGCGAGGCTACTCTGGTGAGAAAGGCGTTGCAGGATCAAACCGCAGCTCATTAACACTGATGAAGCGCTTTGAGATCTCTGGCCTAGAGAAAGGCAGAGGGTGATGATGATTGGGTCCGTTACCTGCTTGTAGAAAACCCACGGTGCTCCATGAGCAGTGTGAAGAGAAAGGGATGGACTTTATTTCTGAACACATTGATTTTACCTGACTACTAAAAGCCTCAGTTTAGCCTAATATCCGAGTTGCAGAAGGGCCTGTGCTCTGAGTCTGCATTACTGAGTCACTAGCCAGAGACTTTACAAGCCTGCTGATCTGCAAGCTGGAGTGAATGGGGCGATCCTACTCCTGGACTGGGTGCCTCTCTCAGCCCTTTTACGGGCACTAGAACATGAGCTGAGTACTGAAAACAGCAGAATGCTGGGGCAGTTCTCACTGTCAGCCCGGCACTGCTGAGGGAAGGGAGCCTGCTAGGAGATGCCAAGGACACACACGGTTTAGTCCTTCTAAAGCTGTGATGGAGCTGGAGTTTCCGGCCCGCTCTCATTCTCCTACAGTGTCCCCTCTCCGGTTCCCTGGGCTCCAGCTCAGAGCACAGCTTCCTTTGGGCCTGTGCTGCCCAGGTGAAGCTGCTGCTCACTCTGGCATGTGGCGAAATCTGGGGCACCCAAATCTTATACGTGTGCATGTAAAGTCAGCAAGGAGGGGCCCTGCTTGGTCACAGCAGGGGCCCAAGTGTCTACTTCAAGGCAGCTGCGGGGAAGCATGAGGGATGGATAGGTTCCAGGGAGGACCTATCCAGAAGGTAGGGAGCAGGTGCGAGGGTGAAGGTTAGGCCAGTGGATGGTCATGGGTGGGGGAAACCCCCAGTGACACGTGCCTCCAACCAATCCCCGCTTAGTGTCACAATCAGCGAGGGTAATTCACCACCACCCTCTTCCAATCAAGATCAGACGTCTCCTCCTAAAAGAAAGGCTCCTGCTCACATCGAAGAGATGGGATCGATATAGCAATATCTGGCTGAGGTCTCTGGCCTGGGCATGGCAGCAGCTCAGACTAGATGTGCACAATGGTCTGGGGGGGCCACCAGGTTGCACCATTCCAGCCCAGGAACTGGTCACTGGGGGTCAATCCTGGTCTGCAGCTCAGGGTGCCCTAAGCCACCCTCTGTGATTCCTACGCTTGCTCCCCGTGCCTGGAGAGAACTCCAAGCCTGTGCCAGAACCGCAGCAATGTGAAGGCAGCAGAATAAACCCTTGCTCCAGAGGGTGACTGGGGGGGTTGTAGGAAAGATGCCACCTGAGCGGAGAACTGAGATTGAGGCTAGAAGCCCCTGCTGGAAACCCAGCCTGCCACCCATCTCCTGGGAGAGGAGAGAGGCCAGCAGAGCCCGTCTTAGCCCAGAGCCACCCTTCGCAGGTCCTGGGGCTAATGCTCCCCGGAGTTCTAGGTTACAACATGACTGCCTTGCCGCTTGCACTGCAGGGGCAGGAAGCCTACGCCTGACGCTGCGCAGCACCAAAAGGTTCATCCAGGTGACGGCAGGGAGGCTGGGATCAGCGCGATTAGGCCCTAATTCTAAGCAGCTTCCTGGTTTGGAATAAGCTGCTTAAAGCGATGAGATGAGGCGACGCCCGGCGCTTGCAGACGAGAACCGAAGGGCAGGCGACGAGAACGGAGGCGGGAGAGCGAGAGGGGGAGGCTAAGAAAAGCAAAGCCCGGGGCTGGGCTGGGCGTGCCCAAGGGCTGAGGCCATGTTAGCGTGCAGGGAATCCCAGCTCCAGGCTGAGTCCAGGCCCACTGACATGGTCCTTTCTACGGTACCCTGCTGGGGCGCAGTATGATGGTCCCAGCATGACAGACACATGGGCCAGGCTTGCTGTGTAGGGTTCCACTGTGGGGGGCTTATGACGTAACTAGGTCCCCCGACCCAGTAGCAATGACAGGTCCTTCATGCTGACGGCAGCCGTGGGCATGAGACTCAAGTGTCCCGCACAGCAGCTAGCTTTGAGCACTGCTGATGGGCTCTGGAGGGAGGGATCTCCAGCCTTCCTGGGCCAGGGAAATGAGTTGAGACAGGGGGGAGCCTCTGAGGAATAAAAAGGGGGCATGAGCAAGGCACAGGAGGTCTCCCTCGGTCTGAGAAAGCTGTTCAGGCCCTGCTGACTGCAGGGGTATATAACCAGGGGTTCCCCTGATCCACCAGACCAGCAAGGCCCAGTACTGAGAGGAGCAGGTGGGACAGGAGCCAGAGCAGAGGGGCTCAGTGACAATGCATTAGATAGTCTGCAGGCAGGTTGGGTGGATGGAGGGTGGGGGTTGCAAACTCAGGCAAGGGGGTGTGGAAGGATGATGGAAGCTGCAGGATATTGCTCTGGCGGATGTATCCTGGATGTGTGGCATAGCGAAGGCTCTGAATACCGGGCAGCCAGGCAAGAGGGATCGTTGGGGCAGGAGAGTTGTGGAGGCTAGATACCCTTATCGAGCTACAGGGCTGGAAGGGACCTCAGAGCACCTAATCTATCCTCCTGTGCTGAGGCAGGCCCACCCCAACGGGTGTAACCTATTTTTAAGCCTGCCTCCCGGCCTCCCAAGCCCACCTGTTCCAGCGCTGAACTCGCCTTACAGGTAGAAAGTTATTCCTAAAACATCCAACCTAAGCCTCCCTGGCTACCCAGTAAGTGGCTTGCTACTTGTCCTGCCCTTGGTGGCCATGGAGAGCAATTGATCGCTGGCCCCTGTGTAACCACCTTTACATGCTATGTTTCTCCCTCAGCCTTCTCATCTCTAGACCACACGTGCCCAGTTCTTTCCTCATCCCCTACCCTGCAGGGCACAAGATGGTTTGAACCCTGGGCAGGGGGGTCAGGTTTGGGCTGGAAGCGCCTGTCCCAGCTTCCACAGGGTGAGGACTCGGTAACTGGGAGATGAGCTGGGGTGCAGCTGGCTGGCACGGAGCCTCCAATGAATAGCACACGTGCTAGTGAACAGCAGCGATAAGGGAAGCGCAGCTGACCCATGCGTGCCTCTCCCTTCCCAGAGCCCAGGCAATGCACCAGTGCCCAGCGAGGGGAGCTGAACACCTCCAGGGGTGGCTGCTGAAGGGGAGAGGCCAGGTGGTTATGTAAAAGCAGGCTCAGTCCCTGGTTCCTAGACAGCCAGTTTGACCACTCCCTCAAAACAAGGCCATTCCCTGGGTTGGGCTCTTGATGAGCTCTTGGGAGCCCAGGGCCCGGATCAACTGACCTGTTTGATCCACATTAATATGCCACTAAATAACCCCGCACTGGAGAAATCCATCCATGCTAAAGTGTCTGAGGGGCCAACCCCACAGAAAAGCGCATGGGGGAAAGGAGTGAAGAGCAGAATAGATGCTGCATACGGAGTGCTGCATATCCAGGTCCTTACGCTCGTCCCAGTGCTGTAGGATCCGAATGCCCCAGAGCTATGGTCCCCTCTAAGGTGTACATGTCTCTCTCTTTCTGGATGCTGGCACTCAAATGTTTCCTCCGGCTCTTTTCCAGGTGCCGGGGAGTCAGGCAAGAGCACAATCGTCAAACAGATGAAGTGAGTACCGTGGTAGGGCTGAGGGTCGGTTGCCCAGAACACAGCCCAAGGCGGTTTCCTTCTAAGAGCCTAATCTAGGCATGAATGTAGCATGATTAACCCCTGCGCTGCTGCTGGGCCAGGCTGCCTGCCCGCTGGCAATAGCTTAGCAAGATTAATAAAAAGGGATTAAACAACTAAATAAAAATAGCATTTGCAGTTATGCTAGCTAGGAGGAAAAGGTGCCCAGTTCTTCTGTTTCGAGGCACGAACTGATCATCAGCTGGGGTCTCTTCATGTGTCATCTCAGTAACAAGTGATGGGTGGGGATGGAAGTTTCATTTCTCCCACGCACCTGCTACAGCCCACTCTCAGGACAAGGAGATTGGCCTAGACAGACAGTGGATCTAGCATCTCAGCACCCATGCCCTGTGGAACATCCCAGGGAGTGGATGGAGTGCGGGTACATCCCATGTGAGCTGTTGGCATGTGGGGTACTGGTGGCAAGTTGATGGCCAGCCATACCAAACAGCAGGCTGCAAGTCTCCAGCCACAAGGGAGTAGGAAACCACCACACCCCCTTTGTGCGTTGCTCCTTGCTGTGCTGGGTCTCTGATGTAAGCCCCGTGGGGCAGGGAACACAAACCATCATGGAATTACACAGGGAGCAAGTGAGATCTACGTGTCAGCAGAGTCCAGTCGCAGAAGGTCCCATGTGATCTGACCTTCCCCTATGAATCTGAGGTTCTGTCACAGGCAGAGCCATGCGTGGTCAGCCCAGGAGCCAGCGAGCTAATCTGTGCCATGGGTCTCAGACCGCTTTCCTTTCAAAGCTGGTACCTTGGTCTTCATTGAGCCAGCTGATGGATGGCATTTCCTCGTTGCATCTGGACTTGGCTGCCAGGCACCTGCGTAGATCACAATGGGCCTATTTGTGAGCCGGGCTGCACGCCAGCACAGGGGTAGATAGGGGTGTAAGGAGCTCCCTTTCTCCCCTGCATGGGGTGACACATTGTCAGACACTGCTAGCAGATGCCACTCAGGCTGCTCCCCCCCACAATACTGAGCAGTGGTGTGGTTCCTCAGCTCTGCACCCCACCCCAGCCAGCACCAAGGGGAAAGTCAGCTATGCCAGGAAAACAGCAGGTATTCAAGCTGGCACATTTCAGTCCCTGCACTGCCTCCTTCGGGCTGGAGGGCAAGGTGCCAATGTCTGTGCTGCAGGGAGAGGCCTGCCAGGGAAGCAAGGCTGTGATCCCTGCTAAAGGTTGTGGTTTCATTCCCCTCCCTCTGCAGGATTATCCACCAAGATGGTTACACGCAAGAAGAGTGCCTGGAATTCAAGTCCATCATCTACGGCAACGTGCTGCAGTCAATCCTGGCCATCATCCGAGCGATGTCCACGCTGGGGATAGATTACGTCGAACCAGGACGAGGGGTCAGTACGCTGCCCCTGCCACCACTGGAACATCTGTCTGGCCCCTGGACAGGGGAAGGCAGGTGGGGAGGGGGTCCCCACGTGTTCATCTGTTCGAGTGCTTGCAATTCCCAGTTATATGCAGGAGTCCTGGGAGAGGCTGCAGGGTAGCCTGGGATGCAGGATGCTGTTCTTGGGTTGGAGAGGAAGTTTGTTCCTTCTGAGCCCCGGGGCGGAGATGGGTTCACTGGTGTTCACTTGAGCGAGCTAGCGTGTAAAGAATAGCAGTGTGGACGCTGCAGCTCGAGCGGAAGCTCAGGATAGCTGTGTGAGTCCAAGCCCACCTGACCCCCTGGGTCTGAGCTCAGGGGACTAGTCCAAGCCCGCGCCCAAACTGCAACATCCATACTGCTATTTTTAGCACACTTGCTCAAGTCTGTCTACTGGGATTGGGAGGCTGTGGTGTAGACATACCCTGTGTGTCTCATTCACTCCTGCTAGCGCATGCTAGAAGCCAAACATTCCCAGCTGCTCCTTACAACAGCAGATAAATATTTTAATAGACACCACTGCCACTCGGTGGGCAAGTGGCAGTCGTCTGGTTCCCAGGTGATGTAGATTGGAAGGGAAGGGCAAGACCTCCAAGTGTGGGAAAGAGGAGCTGTGGGGAAGGAGAGTCCAGAGATGAGGGTCCTGCAACTTTCATTATTCACAGACGAACAAGGAGTTTGGTTTCCCGTTCCTTCAGGAACCACACTGCTATGGGTGTGTTGCCATCTACTGGTTAAGGAAAGCATTCTGGGAGCAACTGGAGTTCCCCACTCCAAGGCCTGGCCAGACAGGATTCTGGGCATGTTTCCCCACATTCTCTGGGGAAGCTGTTCTTGAAAATCAGCAGGGTTGGGTGGGGGTAGAATTTAAATTTCAAAATCCACATTAAAATCCCACAAAACCTTACCCTGATCAGATGGGCCCAAAGCAGGTCTGCCATTCGTGCCCGTCTCTGGCCCCAGCCTGCTCACTGTCTCTGTCTCTTACAGGATGATGGGCGGCAGCTGTGCAACTTAGCAGATTCCATCGAGGAGGGCACCATGCCCCCAGAACTAGTGGACTGTATAAAAAAGCTGTGGAAAGATGCGGGAGTCCAGGCCTGTTTTGACAGAGCAGCTGAGTACCAGCTCAACGACTCCGCTTCCTAGTAAGTCTGTGCCTATGGCCCAGTCATTAGGAAAAGCAACTGCCAGATGGCAAGATCCTCCAGGGATGGACACGAACTTATTGGGACACAGAGGGTTCATCCATCGTTGGGACTTAGTACCGTGAATCTTCCCCTTTGCTGGTGCTGAAGTGACTGATGTCTTTATGGAGCAGGTACCACCACCACCCCCCCTCACTGACATGTAAAAAAACTTGAGGACTCAGCTTTTCACCAGCAGCCAAGGGGAAGGGAAGGAGAAATTCCAGGTGAAGGGGCCAATCTGTTCCCTTTGAAGCCGGTGGAAATTTTAGCACTGAGTCCAAGGAGAGCCTTGTCCGTCAAGGGAAGGGTACATGCCCCTTAAAGGACTTTCGAAAACAAACAAGACAGACCAGAATGGCTTTGAAGCATCAAGTTGCATGCACTCTCATAATTCACTATGTAACAAGCGAGGTCCTCTGTGCTCCCACTTAGCCCAGAACAGCTCCATGTGAGATACAGAACAGAGGGGATTATCCCCCATGGCCAAGATAGTGCTACTGTGTCAGACAAAGCCCCTAAATACCACTGACATGCGACTATCACTGCCTGCTGCGGTGGGGCTGCCCGCCCCTCGTTACCAGCCTAGTTCCTGTACCCTTAATTGATGCCACATGCCAGGGTATTTCAGGCATCTGAGCACCAATCTGCCTCATGTTCTATTACAGGCTGCACTATCTAAGGACAATGAGGTATTTCAGGCTCTGACTTTCTGTAGCCTCAGGGCCAAATGCTGCTTTTGCTCCCAGCAGCATAAATCCACTGAAGACTGTGGTTACTCCAGACACACGCTGGTGTCAACACCATCGCAATTTGTCCCTTCAGGTTAGATGAACATAGTTTTCAAGGGCCCAGAGCCATGATGGCCTGGCACAACAGCTGCAGAGCAGAGGCATGGGCACATTACAGGGAATGCTGCAGGGAACACAACTTCATTGTTTCACTCTGTTGATCCAAACATGGCCATTCTCTGACTTCATAAACCCCGGCCTGCCACGCAGCTCCCTCGTAGGCTGCAGCAGCTGCACAGTCCTATTCAACAGCATGATGGAGGAACTGTGGATGCTGGAACTTAAGGTTACGGGCTTTCCAGACCACAGCACTAACAGAGCTGCTCCATCACCTCCCACCAGCAGGGTCCACCTGTCTGTCTGCCTCCATCTGTCATCTCTTGTCTTACTGTTAGATTGTTAGTTCTTTGGGCCATAGCAGACCCTGCTTGTTCAGCACCTGGCCCAACGGGGTCATGGTCCATGCTCCTAGGTGCTGCTGCAATGCAGGTAAGAAGGCTATGTGCACACTTTGACCCTGGTTAGTCATGAACTGAGATTTTCTTACTCTACAGTTGGGCTAGAAGGACATCTCCTCTCCCTCAGGCTAGCGGAATCGCTTGGACCTTCCCACTGTCCTCTCCTACGATTGCTAGCTCACTGATAACACCTTACCCCAGACCTCCTTCCCCATGCCCGATAGCTATATGCCCTGTCCCTTAGGACTGCTCCCAACAGCTCTCTGCATTCCTGCCTAGCTACCTGAACCAGCTGGATCGGATCACAGCCCCCGATTACCTCCCCAACGAACAGGATGTACTACGATCTCGAGTGAAGACCACTGGGATCATAGAGACCAAGTTCGCTGTCAAAGATCTTAACTTCAGGTGAGTGCATATGCACTTGTTTCCCTCTCCCCTTTGGTGGCATCACTGACCCAGGTATCCTGGCCAAATTCCAGCCAGGATAATGCCATTTATTTCAGTTGACTGGGAGAGCCTGCCTCACATCCTATCCTAAACGGCTGAGTTTCTTGGCTGGTGTAAATCTGCAGAGCGCCATTGTGCTGTCAGTTTACACCAGGTAAGGATCGGGCCCTCTGCACTCATGTAAACAGCTGCCACATTCCAACCCGGCGGGGGCTGGATTTCTGTGATGGGTGCTAGGACTGCCTGTGTGTTCAGTGCTCTGGGTGGGAAGGGGCTATCTAACAGCAGCAGAATTATTCCCTCCACAGGATGTTTGACGTGGGAGGACAGCGGTCAGAGCGCAAAAAGTGGATCCACTGCTTCGAAGGCGTGACCTGCATTATCTTCTGTGGAGCCCTCAGCGCCTATGACATGGTGCTAGTAGAGGATGATGAAGTGGTATGTTCTCTCTCTTAATCCCTATCTGCTGATGGCACTGTGACCACTGCTCCTCTGCCACCAGAGCACAGCTGGGTGGCTGCTCCCCCCTTTTTCAGAGCACCAGGAAACGGAAAAAACTCCTAGCTCATCTGGGAGCCACCACCCAGATTTTAAGAAAATAGCATCTCCCTAGCACAGAGAGCGTCAAGGAGAGGGGTGAGCACCAACTCTTGCTTGGTATGAAGTGCCTGTATTGCCTGGAACACAGGGGGACTCCGGCAGGCAACAGAGCCATGAATATCCTTGAATGGCAGCTCGCAGTTTACATTGTGCTGCTCTGACACAAATCCAGGAAGCAAAATAGCACTTGCCTGACATCAGATTAACCTATGTCTGAAAATAAATGCTGCCTTCCAGCCAGTGCAGCTAGCATCTAAAGCTAATTCATGTAGCACAGAGACATCCCGTGGCTGGTTGAGGCAAAGGCTCTTTCAGGGGGGCTGCCCAACGGCTTGCCCGTCAAGAGGGCATGAGAAATCAATAGGAGAAGGATGATGGGCTTGTGGTTAAAGCACGAGGTATGAGAGATGGATACTGTTCCCAGCTCTGTTCCCTGTGTGACCTTAGACAGATAACAGACGCCTGGATTTTCAGAAGTACCCACACTCCTGGCTGATTTCAATAGGCGTGGTGGGTGGTTGGCCCCTCTGGAAAAAACACTCAATTGTTCTGCAGCTTCCGCCTCTGTCAGTGAGGGATCATAGCACTGACCTTTCAAGGTTAGCATGGGGCTGAATTCAATGGAACATCTGGAATGGCGTTCTCATCCTCAGCCCTATCTCCCTGCTGCAGAGCAATTGCAGAATGTTGGCACATCGGTGTCAGAACCTGTAAACTAGGAAGCGAAGGTGGAAAGTTCAGAGGAGAAATCGGGAATGGCTCAGATGTGAGCCACAAGCATGGAAACCTGCTTCACAGCAAGAAACTAAAGATGCTCAGTCTGTTTAATTTGCCCGAGAGAAGGTTAAGAGGTGACTTGAACCCAGCCCAGAAGCTCCTGAGCAAGGAGATTTCCAATGGCAGAGACTCGTTAATCTAGCAGACAAAGGCAGACTGAGACCCAACGGCTAGACACCTGCAGACTAGATAGAAGGTGCATATTTTTAGCAGCCAGGATGTTTAATCGTTAGAACAACCCACCTGGGCACGTGCTGGCGTGGGGGGCTTGGAGACTAAGCACTGCATTTGGAGAGCTGGGTAAGAATGGGATTCACAGAACCCAGCAACCTGAGCAGGGAGCTACCCAAGCCAGCCAGTAGAAGAGCAGGGGCCTGGCATTGCCTCAGTGATCTAACTCCATGGGGTTGGGGTGCCATCCCCAATAGGCAGAACACTCACCTGACATATAGGAGATCCAGCTTTGAATCCTCACTCTAATCCGGAGCAGGAACTTGGACCCACATCATCCATCTCCCAGCTATGTGCCCTGAGGGGGTGTGTTCCAGGGCAGGTCTCTCTCGACCTCTCCTGCTGAAGCTGTCCCACTTTGTCTGAAACACTTAAATTGCCCTTGGAGCAGGGACGGGACCCTGGGTCTCCCAGGAGGCGCACTAACCCCTGGGCTACAGTCGCTCTCTCTCTCTGGACCAGTGACTGTTTCAATATCGCACACAAAGAACAGCTTCGCCAGAAGAAATGGAGACCCCTGCCCCAGAGCCTGGCAGTCAGGGCACTCAGCTGAGGTGGGGGAGATTCAAGTTCATGTCCCTGCTCTGAACCAAGCAGAGGGGGATTCAAACCTAGGCCTTCCAGCTGAGTGCTCGAACCACTGAGCGATTGAGTACAGGGTGAACCCACACCATGTATTGTGTGGGTTAGCGTGCTCCAAGCATGTCCATAGGATTGGGCACAGCAAGCGAGACAGGTGGGGTAACACCTCGTTTGAGGATCGGACCAGGCAGCTCAGCAGTCTCAGGAATTAGCGGCTTTGCACATGTCCACCAGTGGAAGCTGTGGTGCCAAGGAATTTAGGCCCATTCAGGGTTAAGCAGCAGGTGAGCAGGGAGTTGAGGATCTAAATTCCTTTATGGATCTAGCCTGGAGTCTTTAAATCAAAATTGGGTGTCTCTTCCTAAAAGCTCTTCGCTAGCTCAGTCACAAGCTATGGGCTGGGTGCAGGAATCCCTGGGTGGGCTTCTCGGGCCTGTGCTGTGCAGGGTAGACTAGATGACCTTTTGTTTTTAAAACCTATGTAGCTATGTAGGAGCTAGAAAAAGGACAACAGCCAAACAGCATGGCCAAGACTGCAGCTTTGAGAAACCCCAGGAGAATTACCACATCCTGTGTGGGGACAGTACAGGTGAAATCCTGGCCCCGCTAACGTCAATGACAAAGCTCCCGTTGACTTCACGGGGCTAGGATTCCCCCTCAGTCAGTGGTTGCCCTGGCTGCTGAAAGTCAGATGTCAGCGTAGGGAGGAATTGAGTCTTATGACAATTAAACCCATAGGAAGTGATGCAACTCTAATGAACGTACGTGAATCAGAGAGGCAGCAATGGCTTGCAGAACTAGCAAGCTGCAGCTGAATAGTTGTGCCCATAGCTGAAGAAATCCCTTAGAACAGTTTGCAGTTTTACCATGAAAAGCTATTCATAACTCTGCTGCTTAGATGTGCAGTTTCATAACTGATGGATGGAAAAATCATTGTCCATTCACCCACTGCTTGCTTGCTTTGTGTAGCAATGCAGGGGAAGGCAGTGGGCCCGATCCACCCCACCACTCTGAACCTGGCTCCCAACTGCAGCTGGAGCCCCATCTCCAAGGGGCACCCTCATTACACTGGGAAGCTGAGACTGAAAAAGATTTGTCCACCACAAACCCTGATCAGCTGCACTTGAGCGCCCAGTACGATGCTGTGGCCAAAAAGGCTAATGCGATCCTGGGATGCATAAACAGGGGAATCTTGAGTAGGAGCAGAGAGGTTATTTTCCCTCCATATTTGGCACTGGTGGGACCGGTGCTGGAACCCTGTGTCCAGTTCTGGAGTTCACAATTCGAAGAGGAGGTTGATAAATTGGTGAGGGGTCAGAGAAGAGTCACAAGAATGATTGAAGGGTTAGAAAATGTGCTTTATAATGACAGACTCAAGGAGCTCTATTTAGTCTAACAAAGAGAAGGTGAAGGGGTGACTTGATCAGTCTAGAAATACCAGTTTGGGGAACAAATATTTAATAACGGGCTCTTCACTCTACACGAGCCAGTGGCTGGAAGTTGAAGCTTGACAAATTCAAGCTGGAAATAAGGCATAACATTTTAACAGTGCAAGTAATTAACCATTGGCACAACTGACCAAGGGTCACGGTGGATTCTCCATCACTGACCATTTTTAAATCACCAATGGGCTGTTTGTCTAACAGCTCTGCTCTAGGAATGATTTGGAGCAGGTCTCTGGCCTGTGCCCTTCAGGGCGTCAGACTAGCCGATCACGATGGTACCCCCTGGCTGTGGAATCGATGAGTTTGTCGCCCAAGCAGTTCCCTTGCCCTTCAGGGCCTGCACATGGCCCACCCTTAAGGCCCACTAGATTTGAGGTGGGGGAACACTACAGGCCCAGCTGGGCCCTCATCTGCACATGTGGAACTTCTACTAAGATCATCAGTAAACGGAGGCAGAGTTGAGCCTTTGTGAGCTAGCATGGAGCATTTATTACAAGAAGAGCCAGACTGGATCAGACCAAGGGTCCATCTAGTCCAGTATCCTGTCTTCCGACAGTGGCCAGTGCCAGAGTTTAAGGGGGAGTGCATAGAACAAGGCAGTTGGAGAGATCCACCCCTCTTTCCCTTCTGGCGCTCAGAGGCTAGGGCCACCCAGAGGATGGAGTTGCATCCCTTGACCATCTTGGCTAATAGCCATGTACTTATCTTACTCTTTTTTGAACCCAGTTATACTTTTGACCAGCACAACATCCCAAGGCAACGAGTTCCACAGGTTAATTGTGCATTGTGTGAAAAAGTTCTTCCTCTTGTTTATATTAAACCTGCTGCCTATTAATTTCAATCAGGTGATCCCTGGTTTCTTTATTGAGGGCAAGGGTAAATAACACTTCTCTATTTACTTTCTCTACCCCATTCATGATTTTATAGCCCTCTATCATATCTCCCCCAGTCATCTCTTTTCTAAAACGAACAACCCTAAGCTTTGTAGTTTCTCCTCGTATGGATGCCGTTCCTAACCCTTGATCATCTTTGTTGTCCTTCTCTGAACCATTGCCAGTTCCATGTATCCTTTCCAACCAACACCAGACACGGTGTTCACGGTGCCTTCAAGATCTCTTTCTTGAGTGATTACAAGTAATTTGGAACCCATCATTATATGCATGTAGTTGGGATTATTTTTTCCCCAATGTACATTACTTTGCACTGACCAATGTTGAATTTAATCTGTCATTTTGTTGTCCAGTCACACAGTTTTGTGAGCTCCCCTTGTAACTGTTCGCAGGCAGCCGTAGACTTAATTATCTTAAATAATTTTGTATAATCTGCAAATTTTGCCACTTCACTGTTCACTCTCTTTTCCAGATCATTACTTAATATGTTGAATAGCACAAGTCCCATTACAGATCCTTGGGGGACCCCACTGTTTACCTCTCTCTTCTGTGAAAACTGATCATTTATTCCTACCCTTTGTTTCCTGTCTTTTAACCAGTTACTGCTCTATGAGGACCTTCCCTATAATCTCACGACTACTTAGTTTGCTTAAGAGCCTTTGGTCAGGGACCTTGTCAAAGGCTTTCTGAAAATCCAAGTACCCTATATCCTCTGGATCACCCTTGTCCACATGCTTGTTGACTCCCTCAAAGAATTTTAATAGATTGGTGAGGCATGATTTCCCTTTACAAAAGCTGTAATGACTGTTCCCCAACAAATCATGTTCACCTGTGTGTCTGATAACTCTGCTCTTTACTGTAGTTTCTACCACTTTGCCCAGTACTGAGTTAGTTTTATCAGCCTGTAATTGCCAGGATTGCCTCTGGAGCCTTTTTTAAAATCGGTGTTACGTTAAATCATCCTCTCTACTGGATGACTGGAGGATAGCTAAGCGACATACTTCAGTATGACAGCCATACTTCAGTTAGTAGCTCTGCAGCTTCATATTCGAGCTCCTTCAGAACTCGTGGGTGAATCCCATCTGGATCTGGTGACTTATTACTGTTTGTCAATTTGTTCCAAATCTCCTCTGTCAACACCTCACTGTGGGACAAGGCCTGAGATCTGTCATTCAAACAGGGCCCAAAGGGGACGGAGGAGCATATTCTGGTTTTGGTTTATAATGGATGAAGCAAGAGCAGAGAGCCTTTCTAAATCAGATCACCACCACTCTTAGGTGGATTTGTATTTCAGTAACACCTAGCAGCCCCAACCAAGACCAGGGTCCCCATGGTGCTACATGCTGCACAGACTGACAGTAGAGACAGCCCCTGGCCCAAAGTGCTGACCCTTTGAACAGGCAAACAGCATGGTGGAATCAACAGATCATCCTCCCCCTTGCACAGGTGGGGGCCTAAAACACCAGAGAGATTGAGACCTGCCCACATTCACACAGGGAGGGAGTGTAGGGCAGAGCACAGAACAGAACCCACATCTCCTCAGTTGCAGTCCAGTTCCTTAGCCCCAGCATCTGATACTCCAGGTCCATCAGACACTGGTGATCTAATGCCCCCCCCAGCAGGGAGAGGGTTTTATCCATCTCTGACAGCTGGGATCCCACAGAGCATCCATCCAGGTCAGCTTGCTCTGGGATTTCCTTAAAGAGAAGACAAGAAGAGAGAGCACGAGCTCTAGGATCCAGGCTCGTTCCTGCAGTGCCAGCCATTTGGCTCCCGCAGGCCAATCCAAGGGCTGGTGGACTTTCACAGCAGCTCCCCCCTAACATGATGCTCAGCCTCCAGCTTCCTCAACCAAGAGTTTCTCCAGAGCCCCCATTTCATGTACAAACAGGATCAAGAGGAAATCGGAGCAGTGCAGCCTGTGGGGAATGTTTCGGATGCCACTAGTCAGGCAGGGCGCTGGCTCCAGAGGGGGGCTCAGCCTCTCCTTCAACCACACAGAGGGCGAAGAGCAGAGAAAGCTGGCCATAAGGAGGCAGAAAACAGTAACAAGATGCCTCTGGTATTGTCTGCCCCTGCTAGGAGCAGCCCTCATTATGATTCCCTCATTATGAGGGAAGCCAGCTCATTAACACACCAGCAGCCCTCCCGCATGCAGATAGTTGTCCTTCAAACAGGGCACCTCCTTCTCTTCCTCCCTCGGGATGGATTCATGCAGAAGGGCTCCCCGGCCCTGCGGGTTATTAAAACAAAGTGCTTTGGAGGAGATTTGCAAATCAGAGAACATGTAGAACATGTTCTCTGATTTGCAAATCTCCTCCAAAGCACTTTGTGGAGAGTTCTCTTCTCAGTAGACAAGAGACTATGGACAGGGGAGACTGAACTCCTCCCTCTCTTCGGTTGGATTCAGAAGGGACAAACCAGGGGGCATCATTTTAGACTGTTTCACAAGATGCTGGAAAAAGTCCCTATTCTGGTACCCTTCTAGACAGGCAAGGGGCATGAGGGAGACTGCACAGTCAAGCCCTTAGGAGTGGGAAGGAGAGCAAGGAGGAAGAAAGGCCTAGTGGATAGGGCAGGGGAAATCTGGCTTCAGTTGTCACCTCAAAGTTCCTTGTGTGACCTTGGGCAAGTCACCTGATCTACCCTATGGCTCAGTTTCCTCTATACAGTGGGGATAGGACTTCTCTGCCTCCGGGGTGTGTTTTGATCCATTAACATTTGGGAGGTGCTCATACTACCAGGGGGTAGAGTTGGAGGCGGCTTGTGATAGTCCCATAGCAGAGATTTGGGCCAGCGTGTACTAGGACTATCTTCCTTGAGAAAACTCTCTCAACTGACTTGCAAACCCAGAGGTTAAGAGAACGATCTTGCTTTGTAGAGGGCACTGTAGTGATCAGAGAGGGTGATTTCTGAAGGGCCTGCCTATCCTAAAGCACCTGCAACTCTTCTTGTGGCTGCTGCAGGAAGACCCATAGGCGATGGCTCATTAGAGAGACAGAGTACATACTCACTGCCATCTCCCACAGCATTCCAAGAACTAGCCATTATTTTAGTAATGGGGTCTCAGGTCAGTTATTTAGACAGTGACTTCTCACATCTGATTCTTCCCCACACACAGAGCCTGCCTTGCAGTAATTAGGAATCTGGCATTAGCATTCTGTCAGTAGGAGGTGAGGGTGCAGAGTGACAGAAATCCTTCATTCTGGACTCCCCAGTAGCTGTTGTGACAACCCATAGAAACAGCCAGCTGCCTACGGTGTGGCAACAGAAAGAAGTAGGGCTACCACACTACCTGGCTTTGAGGAGCAGGAACATGAGGATTCTCAAGGCAAAAAGAATCCTCCGACAATTCTAACCAAGCAGTTCAAGACTTCCTTATTGTTGGCCATAGAAACCACCCACAACCTTCTCTTTGGCAACACGGGTGCTTGTTACAGCAAAAGAACAGGAGAGTTTGCAAAAGACAAAAGGTAAATCAACTTGCTGAAATACAGTTGGTTTGGCTGCTGGTTTCCAGCTGCTGTATCTGTACTCTCCCCCTCGCTGCTGAGAATACTTTAAGTTCAGCAACAGTAAATCTCTCCTTAACGCTTTCTTGTGTCTCAAGAGAGCTTTATTAGTGGTATTACGGTAGCAGCTGGAAGGCCTTGTGATGGATCTGGGCCCCACTGTGCTTGGCACAGAACAGTCTCTGCTTGAACGAGCTTAGTCGAGTGAATTTGTTCCCCTGGCATCATCTGAAAATTGGAGCCCTGTTGAAATTGCAAAAAAGCCATCATGGAAGGATGCTGATTTGCTTTGTTTAAAATCCAGTTGGTCTAAAGCTTCTGGCCAACCATAGAGTCCTTACCTGGGCTACAACAAACAGGAAACATCACGGCTTTATGACCTGCAAAGGCTTCACCATTGTAACAGCAGAAAGTCCTGCCCTCACCTTTACAGCTGCAAAAACTGTGGCGATCAAAAAGCAAGTACAATTAGCAGCAGCTCAGGCAATGGCTGGTGTAGAGCTTCAGCCTGTTTGAGGAACAAGCTTGAGTAGGAGTCGGGACTTGCAGATGCTAACAAGCCACAGAAACTTGAGTGGGGGAGAGCTTTCAGAATGTTAGACCAAGCAAGGACCTGCCCACCCCTACTTTCTGAAACCAGAACGAGTAGGGTCTTTACAACACACCCACCTCTGAAATTTCTTTACAAGTGATGTGGTCTTTTTGTCTTCAGAACCGCATGCATGAGTCCCTGCATCTGTTCAACAGTATATGCAACCACAAGTTCTTTGCTGCCACCTCCATTATTCTGTTCCTCAACAAGAAGGACCTCTTTGAGGAAAAGATCAAGAAAGTCCACCTCAGCATTTGCTTCCCAGATTACGATGGTGAGTTGGTCTAAAAACTTTACCTTCCCCCTTTGTTCTAGTGTTTAGGCCCAAATTATCCTCACCCAAGTCTAAAAAGAAACAAACAAAAAAATCAAACCAGATTAATGGGTGGGAAAAAGTGAGTGGCACAAAAGCCACAAAGGGATAGAAAATGGTTCTCTTGGGGAAAAAAGTCATTAGGCTCAAGCTAGGCCTCTGCAGCTAGGAAAAGGAGAGGATCTGTATTAAGCATTACCACCGTGGGATGATTTGGTAGGAATAAGGAGGTTATGACTCAAGGCTGAACCACCCCAAGGAAAGGTCTGCTTGCTCTTCAGCTTTTGTGTAGAAAGCACATCACTGCCCAGGGCTGTCACTCCAGTCCTGTTCTTTAACATGCATTTAATTCTCTCAAAACATGGCAAAGGATCACATTTCCTCTGCTGGCCACAGATCCAGCCTAATCACAATGGGCTTTGAGGAGTTTCTAATTAGTGCAGTCTTCCTAATCAGCAACACTTAGCAGCAGAGTTATTTCCTTCCCCCAAATAGGTCCCAATACATTTGAAGATGCAGGAAATTACATCAAGAATCAGTTCCTTGATCTCAACATGCGAAAAGATGTGAAAGAAATCTACAGTCATATGACCTGTGCCACAGACACACAGAACGTTAAATTTGTGTTCGACGCAGTCACGGATGTCATCATCAAAGAGAATCTCAAGGACTGTGGTCTCTTCTAGAACTCCAACTTTTGCAGGTACTGTAACTTCAAGCAGAGAACTAAACGCCTATTGTAAGTCACAATTTAGTCACTTTACTACCAAACTGGCATTGTGAGGGATAGGAGACAACTGGTCTGACTCCTCACGATAGTTCAGGCCCTACCAAATTCACAGCTGTGAAAAACATATCATGAACCGTGAAATCAGATCTCCCCTGTGGAATCTGGCTATTGTAGAGGGGACCAGATTTCACAGTGCAGGGTGGCTGGAGAGCAGCGGCTGCTGGCCAAGAGCCCAGCTTTGAAGGCAGAGCTGCCACTACCAGCTGTGCAGAAGTGACAGTGTCATGATATGGCATTGCCACCCTTACTTCTGTGCTGCTGCTGGCAGTGACACTGCCTTCAGAGCTGGGCAGCCAGAGGCAGCTGCCCTCTGGCTGCCCAGCTCTGAAGGCAGCAGCACAGAAGTAAGGGTGTCAATACCGTGACCCCCCTACAGTAGCTGTGTGACACCCCCCCCCACACACACACGCGACCCCGTTTCAGGTCAGGACCCCCCAGTTACAATACTGTGGAATTTCAGATTTAAATATCTGAAACTGAAAATTATTTTTAAAATCCTATGAATGTGGAATTGACCAAAATGGACTGTGAATTTGGTAGGGCCCTACTGATAGAGCAGATTTTCCAGAGCGCTCAGCACTTTTTGCCCTTGTAAGCAGCTGTATTACCACTAAACCACTGGTTCTCAACCTTTTCCCCTCCCCCATCTTGGCAGTATCCTCCTCCTCCTTCATAGTATGGGAATGGCAGGATGATTGCGAGCACTAGCCATCCTCTTGAAGAACCCATGAAACAAACTACTTAAACCCTGCTAGCCCCAGCAGTGGTTGATTTCCCTACTCAGCATGTAGAAGGGGTTTTAGCTGAATCTGGTATGCCAAAGTAGGTTAGAGGGTCCATTTGGGTAGTAAAGTATCGTTTTAAGGTACTGTATTACAAAATTGTTCAGCCTTGTCCGTGAAGATATGGTGCCTATTGTAATACAGGCCTGGCCCTGCGAGTCAGGCAAGATCAGGGCATTACACTGTCACAACACAGTATCCTTGCTAGTCTGAGGCAGTCTTATAACCTGGTCCATAAGTTATCACTGCTCAGGAAAACTGGTCCCAAATCCTGCTCGCACTAGAGCTTAAACAGAACCTAGCATGAGTAGCATGCTAGTGTGGGCAGGGCTCAGGAAATGAGTTATGCGCAGTGTTCAGCTTTACACAGCCTTTTCGCTATAGCCACCATGCTGTTTTTAACAAACATGAATGTTATTTTCAGTTTATGAGGATGTACGCTTGTACCAACTGCCCAGAAAATCTCTGAAGCATTCTCTGCCCACCCCCTACCTTCAAAACATCCAGCCAGCATCCTCCAACAGTTTGTTTCCCGGGGAGCAAAATGAGCAATCTTGGAGCTCTCACTCTCCATGCACATGCATAGGAAAGCAGGGAAATTAAAGGCTTCTCTGCAGGCATAAAGTAGCTTGCAGAAGGGCAGAGGGACAAAAACCACTTTGATTTCACCTCTGCATTGTTCGCTGCAAAACCAAACAACTTTCCAATCAGAGCACACATGCAGGAACGCCCACTTTAAGCATAAAGGATGATATTGTGTCATGACAGTAGCTTGGAGGGTTTTAGTACTGTATTGGGGTTACAAACACCAATGAACGCAGCTCTTCTAGTAGCAGTTGATTACATGGAGAATAATTGTTGTAAACTTTACCACCACCATTGTATTTTCACACTTTGTTTGCTACTGAGTCAGATTCTCATTTAGATCAAGGCATGTTTATACAGCTCTGGTGTTCGCATAAATCAGAATCTGGCCCTCAATATTGATATTCTGCAGGCATTTATGCAATGGATTTATGCATTGCATTTTAATTCTCTTAAAATGTCTTCCTAATTTTAAAGTTGTAGAAGTATTTATCTTCCTTTTCTCTCCCTTGACACCTCCCTCAAGAAAAGAAAATGACTTCCACTTAGCATCACTGTTCTGCAGAGCAGAGCCAGAGGACTAAGCAAAAATTACTCCGAGTCCACACTAACACCTGCCCAGCACACGGCTGCACACCTCCAAGAACAAACCATCCAGCGAGGCTAAACTTACTGCAGCCCAGCTGTCTTCCAGGGTAATTTCCTCATTTTTAATAAAATAGTTTCTCTGCAGTCTGTGTGCGCTTTAAAACTGCTGCTTACAAGAGATCCAATGTGATCTGAACCCAAAGAGCAAGTAGTCATCAGGACTGATACTGAAGTTTCACATCTCTGCACGTAAAAAATGTATTACAAACCTACATGGAAAAGGTGAAAGCAATGTTTTGTGGAATCCTAGAGAAAACCACCCCTCAATTATATTTTGTGGAAATCAAAAAAAATTCCGTAAGTAGTGTGAACTGAAAGGTATTGCTGAAAGTGGACAATGGAATGGATTTAATTTTAACTCAAACGTATCTAATCCCTCTTTCCTTGTTTTAGAAACTAACCAGTTTACCAGTTGTAAATAAGCCCCCAAGAATTATGTGAAATTTTCAAACCTTCCATTGGAAAAATTAACATTTGCAGTTCCCTGCAACTGGTGCAATTTGTCCCCACAGCCTTAAGTAGCCGATTGACTATTTCTGGTATCCAACTTTCTCTCTGTATTAGATAGCCTGGAAGGCTTATGAGTCTAGACCTGTTCTCTCTCTATCCATACAGTGTAGCAGTACTGATCCCAGCTCACTGGGTACCTGCGGCTGCTGAGACTTTTGCACATGCCGTCTCATTGATGTGTACTGTAGAAGATCACAGGACAGTGAGAGACAGCGTTGAATTTATTAGAGTTTGGCAAACATTTCACATCTAGAAGGGGGGGGGGAAGAACAGGTCAGATACGAAGAGGAAATGGTTACTTGAAAAGATTCTCATTCTGCTATTTAGAGCTGTATCTGCTCTCATTTGTAAATAAGTCTATGCTATTACTGTAGACAAGAAGGTTTCTTGTATCTTAACATGTACTGCAGAGAATCACGTATATGGCTTCAACTAAACTGTAGTAAAACCAAAATAAAGAAATGTGCATGGAATGGCTGGCTGTCATTTGTTCTGGGCTAGCTTTTTTTGTTCTGGGCTAGCTGGTTTTAAAATGATGATTCCTCAAAGCACAAGTTCTTGATTCTGAAAACATGAACCACAGTAGAGCTCAGAAGCAGCAGCCATACTGGCCCTTGTCCTGTAGCAGCTGCACACACAGACCTCCCACTGCAGCCAACAAGAGCTCCATGTGCACAGTGGCCACAGAGTCAAGCCAAGTGACTAGTCTGGCCATGCTGTGGAACTTCCAGTCAGTGCTGCCTTGGCTGGTTGCGTGGGTGCCATTTGCAGTCAAGTTTCCCCCGACCTCACTTCACCTTTAATAGTCTGAGGCTGCAAAGTGCTGAGCACCCTTGGTCACACTGAAAGAAGAAATAAGTATTTATAGGCACAGCCCCTGGCAGGATCAGGCCCTAACTCCAGCTTCAACAGTTCCTTCAGGTGGCACGATGTTGGCATACGATGTTACTGGAAGGGTCAGCATGCATGTATGCTTTAAGAACAGAGTGAGCTACTCCTGGCATCACTGTGATGCTGTAATGAATCCTACAAGGTTTGGTTAAAAGGAAAGTGTGAGATATACACTGACAGTTGAAGGGGATTTCCAGATTAAAACGAGTCGTTTACAACTACTGAATGCTGCCACTTGTTGGGAATGTTATGCAAGGCACAGAGTATGGGTTAATGACCACTTGGACCAGCTGAGGTTCTTCCCCTGGAGTTTGAAGTGCTAGCAGGGTAGTGGTGCTGTACTTCCAGGCAAACATTCTTCAAGCTGACACATATCCACCTATTGTAACAGATTGGCTTTGGACATTATTTTTTCCATTGCATTCAAGTGAGGAACTAGGACTCTAGCAAGAGACTTGCCATCAGATGTGATGTAGATGTGATGAGCGACATAGGAGGTCTGCTGATCTCTATCCAAGCCACTGGCAGCAGAAGACAGCCCTGTACAAGCCACCAGTAGGTCTAGAGGTCCTGTAATCAAAAGTTAGTAGCTCTCTGCTTAGTCCCATCTTATTCACTAGTAGCTGCGCATCTCATTTTTGCAAACAGACCGATGTGGACAGAGCACATAATATGGGAGCACATTTCCAGAAATAGTTGGAATAAACTAGAGAAAAAGGCTAAACTGTTTACTCACCATTTTAATACTGCCAACAACTATAACAGGTTGAAACTGTACACATGACAAATTGGGAAAAGTCTCATAATGCAATGGTTTCAGCAAAGGAATGCACTGACTTGTTAAGAATATTACTACAGTAAAAAACAAATGGCAAACAGGAATTTGGCACCACATTTACAAAGTAAAGGCATGCTGTCAATACAGTTTAGAAGTCTGAACAGAAAAGGCCATGGTAAAATGCAGAACAAGGTGCATCTTTTACAAGATTCCCCACTGCTTTAGATCAAGAAAAAACAAACATACAAGGATCTAAGTGGTTGATTTAGTAGCTTTGTAGCAGCACGTATGCTCCATCCAGTTTGGAATTTAGCAATTTGTCCCTTCAGGTGGAAGCATTCCTAGGTAAATTTTCACCCAAGAAGCAGTCTTTAAAGCTTACTACCCCAGTACAAATCTCAGTAATCTGGTGACCAGCATAGCCCAGATAAACCCCAACCACAAGTTAAGACGTGTTATCCTGCTGCAGAAACCTCCACTACCTCTTTTAAAAGCCTTAAGGTATTTGTAGCAGGATGGTAACAAGTTACACATCAGAAGAAACTGAAGCTATAGTCATAAGAGTTCTATGGATCTTTTAAATAGTTGCAGAAATATTAAACTGACCATACCAAGCATTAAAAACAGAGTTCCTACTAAGAGGAATACTTTCTGCATGATCTGGTCACATGTGCATAGTTAAGTGATTTTTTGTTTTTTAAAACAAGATTCATTTGCAA